TAGCCTGGTGATGGGTATTAAAGAGGGCACATACTGAATGGAGCACTGGGTGTAATACGCAAACAATGAATCGTGGAATGCTACATCAAAAACTAATGATGTAATGTATGGTGATTAACATAATAAAATAAAAAAGAAAAGAAAGTAAGAAAAAACATAACAATAAAAAAAAATAAATGATGTTTATTCAAAATTTTGGTTAAAAAAGAAATAAAATAAATGAGATTGCATTTACTGTGTATGCTGTTTGGGACTGTGTCATGAACCCACTACCTAAAAGATACTTTAAGCTTTTGTTTGCATACAGGAATAATTTCTAGACTCTAAACTAGAGGACCACTGAAATATCCTTAACTTTAAAGTTCTAGGACATGTAATAATATCCATACCATCTTGCATAAATTGAAAGTGAACTGCAATTAATTTTAAAACACTCTGAACAAAAATAATGGCAGAAGATATAAATAAATCTTTAAGAATCATTTTGAATTTTATGCCTTCTGTTTGACTACATAAATTAAGGTAAAAAAATTGGATTCTAGAATTTGAACTTTATGTTTGATGAAATACTGTAGCTCAAATTACAATGCAAGATACATTTTTAAGACTGGTACAAGACCAAGTCTTGTTGATAATAAACCTTTACAAATTAAGAATGGCATCTTTGCATCTTTAATCTTGCTCGAGTATCTTCTATCTATTCTAGATAATTATTTTGAAGCCAGAATTCAAGGAGCATAGACTTTCATTTTGAGCAGATAATTCTATCAGAATATCAAACATAGAGACAGCTCTTTAAAATAAAGGAAAATGTAAAAAGACAACACTTCAAAATCAAAAAAAAAAAATTAAAATCTTGAGTGGCAGAGGCTCTAACCAAGGACAGTAATCAAGCTTCTCATTCAGTAATAATAAAGTCACTGTTGGGGGGGAGGGCGGGGGGAGATGGAATAAAAGAATACAATTGATATCACTTTATAGTCTGGCAAAAATGTACAGCAAGGTCAAACTGTTAACAATGATCATTTAATACTTACAAAATAAAACTTCTTACATTCACATAAAACACAGATGTCACATTTAAATTCTCTAACATTTGTTGACAGCTTACATAATAATGCTTAATGAACACTATAATTGTAACGCAAAATATTTCCCCAAGTTTTTTACACCACCGGAGAGTTGTTGCCTCATTAAAACAAAAGAATTTGATACATCAGTGCAGTTACTCAGAAAGACAAACTAAACAACTAGCCCGATAAAAATCTGTTAAAGAAAAAGATATGGGTTATTTTCTGGTTTCAGAATTTATTTTATATGATTTAGATTCCAAATCTAACAAAATTTGACTAGAATCTCCATTTAACCTCTTTTATTCCAAATATTCCCTCAGCCCTTCACTCTGCTACTATAAGGTTTAGTTCTATTTTACATGATTTTCTCCAAAGTTAAAATATAAATGGCCTCTTCTCAAGCTTTATTCTCCTCTGTATGATTTGATAGTCCTGACTATCTGCTCCTTGGAACCCTCTATCTTCTTTGAGCTTCTCAAAGAGCATACCCCCTCAGCTCTCTTCCATCCTTCCAGAACATCCTTTCTCAGGTGTCTTCACTCTCTCCTTCCCCTATCTTCCCTATAATTATGAACTATTCCCAAGGGTCTGCTCTCAACCCTCTTCCCTCCTCATTCCATGTCGCTACCCTTAGCACTTTCATCCAATTTCAACAGAGCTTTAAAATAACCGTCAGCTGAGTAACTCACTTCTACCTCCAAACTCTTTTCTGAATGTCAGAAACGTATCTCCAATGACAGGGCACATAGGTCCAAAAATGAGTACTTCTCTTTTTTCTTTTTTTTTTTTTTTTAAAGTAGGCTCCGCACTCAAGCCCATCGTGGGCCTTGAACTCACGACCCTGAGATCAAGACCTGAGCTGAGATTGAGAGTCAGACACTTAACTGACTGAGCCACCCAGGTGCCCTAAAATGAATATTTCTGTTGGCACCTCAAACTAACCATGTCCAAAACTAAAATCATTATTCCATACCTCCAACATCCAAAGAGACCATTATCACCACAGTTATTTTCCACTCCTCTTCCAATTCACCCCAAAATATAATCTAAAACAAGTCCCAGGGCACCTGGGTGGCTCAGCTGTTAAGTGTCTGCCTTCAGCTCAGGTCATGATCCCATGGTCCTGGGATCGAGCCCCGCATCGGGCTCTCTGCTCGGCGGGAAGCCTGCTTCTCCCTCTCCCGCTCCCCCTGCTGGTGTTCCCTCTCTTGTGGTGTCTCTGTCAAATAAATAAAATCTTTAAAAAAAAAAAAAAAGTCCCCGTGGATTTGGGGTCAATCCCTAGCCATCCTCACACCTACGCACTGACTGGCTAACACCCACTGGCTCAGCTGCAACCGGTTACTAGGTGGAATCTGATGAAGTCTAGCAGGCATCCAAAACCTTGTCTTCATTTGCAGCCTTAACTCCTAATCAAGCCAGGACCAGCTATGGTTTTTAGTTGAACACACAAGAAGCTGATGCTGGCTGATTAACAAAAAAGGAGTTTATTAAGAGATTACTGGGCATCTCACAGAACTGTCAGGAGAATAAAAAAAAAAAAAAACTATGCTTAAAGTTAAGCTTCCAGAAACAATGTTCAAACCATGCCACAAAACAGGACTGATTAGAAAATGGCCATCGCCACTATTGCCCCACAGAGAACTAAACCCCTGTTGCTGGAAATCAACCCTGCAGCCACTCGGAAGCCACTGCTGCCACCCACCACCTCCCCCAGCAAAAATGGAAGCTCTGTGCAGAAACTGTTTCCTTAGTTCCAATCAAGTCTTGTGAGAGGTGAATCTAATTGGTGAAGTCTAAGTCATATGCCTATGAACTGGCTATAAATGAGGATGAGAATTTGAGGACTGTCTTCTAATACTGGCAAAACTGACTCCTATATTAGCAATATAGGGGAAATTATATTGGGAAAATTTTCCAAATCAAAAAAAAAAAAAAAAAAGACTATTCAGAGGTGAGGTTAAATATGAATGCAGCTACTACTAATTACCATCCCTCCTTCCTACCTCTGCCTCCAAGCCTACAATGGATCTACAATGGGTCCAAGATCCTATCAGAGTTTGGTGAGCATACTCCAATGCACTTGCTAAAAATGGACCTTCCCTGTGGTCCAGATAACTTGGCAGAGCCCAAATTCCCTGCCTGAGTATTGCCAGCCACCAGGCCTGGGAGACCATACCTTTCCTTTAGACCAACAACCCATCCTGCAGTCATAGCTAGTTTCTCCTACACACAAGGCAAACCACCAAAAACTACATCAATGTCACCAAAGACTTTAAGCACTGGCAGTAACAAGACACTCTTAATAGCTATATCCCGTATACCAAAGTGAACCCTCTTGGACACCAAAACCAATCTACATTAAGTCTGAGTTCTATATACCCTCTGAACACTAGGATTTGATTGGCAACTCCCCCACACTCTGCCTATCCTATCCTCCTGGGTTAGCCCTTCCCCATCAACTGGCCACCAAGATCCCAGTGCACATTTCACACTCATTCCTCCCCTTCTATCCCCACAGTCACCATTTCACTGTGTTATCATAACTTCTCATCTAAATATTGCAACACTGTCCTAAAAAATTCTCCAATGCCCAAGTTCCCTTGCACCACCTCTACCATTGCACATGCACATAAAATTCACGTCAAATATTTAATTCTTTGGAAAGCTGAACATCTCAAAAAAGTAAGCTGTGTATAAATACAGAGAGCACTGTGGAAAATGTGCTCCAAAATAATTAAATCTCAATGTCCTAAAGTACATTCCTAGAAATAAGAAAATCTACAACTGTTTCATCATCCTTATCACTTTCACACAAGTATAAGTAGAGATATGAAAGAAAATCCTGTTTGACAAGATAATACCAATCTCTTTTCTGACTGATCTGGCAAAACTAAAATATGAAAAAACACTTCCTAAGTTCCTCTTTACAGACTGTGGACTGGGGAACAACCATGCAATATTTAATGGAAAAAAAAAAAAATACAACGGTAAGGAAACACGAACCTTATCCCATTCCGACCTCTAAGTTTAGTCCTTAGCTACACTCTAAATTCATCTGTTGTCTTTTTAATATAGCCCTAAACAAAAACCCCTTTTGATAAATAGAAACTTTCCCTACTTGAGTTTCCTCCCTAAAATTTCCCCTACATTTTGTCTAATGTAAATGTAGTCTCCGGCATAGCTATTTTCCCCCACCAATCTTGTTCTTATGGCATTTGTCTATGGCCATTTTTAAGCCTTCTTATTTGTAAATACCTTCTACTTTCTCCTCTGTGGTGAAGCTTTTTTTTGCATTTATTTTACACTACAATTTTCCTCAGAGCTGCCTTGTAGCAACCTTCTGGCCATAAATACTCACATATTTGCAATGAGGCTAAATTCCTGTTAAAATAATGACTTACAATCTTTGTGTTCTAATAGATTAGCAAGGATCCAGATGTCTGCACACATACTTGTCAAAAGAAGAGAAATACACAGTTCCTCTTCTTTCTGTAACCAGTAAAAAGTAGTTGAATAAATTAATGAATTTCTACCTTCGTTTTAAAGATTAACCAGTGTTGCTTTCACAGTCTTTTAACAAATTAGAGATCCCTTCTCTTCTCCAAATCGGCAAAGCTGTTGAATGATACTTTTATTTTGCTATATTGTTATCTGTTTATTTGTTCGGGTCAACTAAGAGTATACAAACTACCCATATCAACAATCCTATCTTAAACCACTTCTATTCCACATCTCATATGCAGAAAGCACTTAAAAAACATTTATTCACACATTCCATAAATACTTTGTTAAAAACTAGGGGGCGCCTGGATGGCTCAGTTGGTTAAGTGTCTGCCTTCAGCTCAGGTCATGATCTCAGGGTCCTGGGAATGAGCACCACGTCAGGCTCTCTGCTCTGCAGGGAGCCTGCTTCTCCCTCTCCCTCTCTCTCTCTCTCTCCCTCTCTCTCTCTCAAATAAATAAATAAAATCTTAAAAAAAAAAAAAACTAAGCTAGGTGCCAGAACTATCAAATATTTAACAATCCAGTAAGCTGACTGGTAATAAATAAAGCAATCAGAGAATTTTGATAATTAAGAAGCAATTCTTCGCAATCTACCACAATCAGCTATTAAAAAATCTGTCGTTTTGGGGCGCCTGGGTAGCTCAGTCGGTTAGGCATCTGCCTTCGGCTTAGGTCATGGTCCCAGGGTCCTGGGATCCAGCGCCGCATCGGGCACCCTGCTCAGCGGGAAGCCTGCTTCTCCCTCTCCCTCTCCCCCTGCTCGTGTTCCCTCTCTCCCTGTCTGTCAAATAAATAAATAAAATCTTTAAAAAAAAATATCTGTCATTTCTTTACCAGGTTAGTGACAAATGACTTCATATATGGGATTATTTTTTAAGTAATACAAATTCCTAAAAAGTAGTATAGCTTCATTTAAATACTGAATATAAACTAGATGCTAAACAAAAATACTGACAAGTTGTCACCGTATCTATATTAGAAAAATAAACATCTCTCAAAAAAAAAGAGCTCTCATTACCCAATTCTTTAAAACGGTTTAAAAAGTTTCTACTTTTACTTGATTAATATTTTATTTCTCTTACAAACTGTTATAGAACACCTCTCTTCCATTTTTCCTTTTAGTCATTCATTCAATAAATCTTCATTAAACCTTTATAATACGCAAAGTAGCATGGTAAGCATTGAGAATTCAAAGATGGAAAAGAACCATCTATTCTTTTCAATCTATGTTTCTCAACTGTCATAAAAATATTCATGTCCTCCAAATGGGTATTATTTGTGACCATCCTTTGCAGAAAATAAGAAAAGTGGCCTCTTACTACCACTTCAATGTTATCTGAATTCAGAAGGATGAAACCCAGCTGTCACCTCACCTTTGTCCTAGCAGTGATCTCCAAAAGAACTTCTTCCTATCCCACAACTTATTTCCCACTTAACTAAATATTTCTAGATCCAGATCAAGTAACTTGCATAGTCCAAGCAATGTATTTACACCTAGTACCTTTAAGCTTATGTTTAACTAGTTTCTAAAATGTTTCCTGTTGTTCATTTGCCTTCCTGTCTACAACTTAAGCTTTCATGATACAAGGACTATGCTGAATATATCTGTTTCCTTTCAAAGCTCTGGCAACAATGTTGAGTGTATAGGAGCTTCTCAATGAACACTACAGAGAAGGGATAAATACCAAGATATATACATAAGAGTTCAAATCAAATATGTCTACTATAGGGTTTAATCAGAGTCTGAAATATACTTAAGGATTTTACCATTTTGATGATTTACTGTGTTTTCTATTAAATCATTTTTCCACCATCAGTAAAAATGTTTACTTAACTAGCACAGCACAGTCCTTTAGTCTTGGATTTCAGAAACTGATACAGCCCCTCCCTTTTTATGTGAATGATTGCTTTCCTTTTTGCTGTTATTCCTAGGAAGCTTAAAACCAGATACGAAGCCCAACCATAGCATCCACGTTGACACTTAAAATTTGTTCATTATTCCTAATTTTCTTTTCCTTTTCCTTTTTTACTACTTCAATCAATGTGCTTGTAAATTGCCTCAGATGTTTTGTTGAAACAAGTTGTAAGTTAAATTACCCACTATGAAAAAGATACACAAATTTTTATTTGGAAGTTAATATTTTCTTTTATCCACCAAAGCATACTTTAATTCAAACTTATTCCTCTTCATTTTTCCTTCTCCTCTAAGTTTTTGTTAATCATCCATATTCTTAAATTGTATTGTCTAACAAATTTACTTTATAAAGACCAAATTTTCTGCCTATATCTTCACACAGTTTCACTGCTATTTTCTTTCACCTTTTTCAAATTACTACTTTTGAGTGGATCAATATCACAGTTGTAAGGCTGAATGTGGTCTCCTCTTTGCATTAGACACCTATTTTTAGATAACAAAGTTTTCCACAAAAACTTTCATCAATAACACAAGCCATAAAAATTGAATTTATAAGTACTGAGATTCTTTAGGTTTATTAAGTGTTGGTATATTATGAAGAAATCAGAATATGAGATTCATGACTCTTGTCTTACTCTAGAGATCCACTTCCCAGTAAACTAGTAAGATCATTTAACACAAGCTAAATTCCCTTTCCCTTTCCTTATGTTATAGAAAGTCTATAGCCATGGGCGCCTGGGTGGCTCAGTTGGTTAAGCGACTGCCTTCGGCTCAGGTCATGATCCTGGAGTCCCGGGATCGAGTCCCGCATCAGGCTCCCTGCTTGGCTGGGAGTCTGCTTCTCCCTCTCCCACTCCCTGTTTGTGTTCCCTCTCTCGCTGTGTCTTTCTCTGTCAAATAAATAAATAAAATCTTTAAAAAAAAAAAAAAAAGAAAGAAAGTCTATAGCCTCATGCATTTGTTCAATTTGTTTCTTTTACTTCAAGAACTTACTTTCCATATATTTCTATCCCCTTAAATCTGCTGTTGCATAACTCTTCTGAATGATTAGTCTAGAAGTCTTCAAGAAATTTTTAAAAATATTTCCCAAGTAATTAAAGAAATGGAATTAAATGCAATTTAAGGTACTGCTTTTACCTATCATATTAGCTAAGGCTTTTTACTGTAAACTCCTGTATCACTGAAGAGCGAAATCAGGCATGCTTGTACATTACGTGGGGAAGTACAAACTGATGGAGTATATAGAAAAGCAGTTCGGGTTGCCTGAGTGACTCAGTCAGTTACGCAGCTGACCCCTAATTTGGCTCAGGTCATTATCTCAGGGTCGTGAGATCAAGCCCAGCATCAGGCTCACATTCAGAGTGGAGTCACTTCAGATTCTTTCCCTCTCCTTCTCTCTGCCCTTCCCCGCCCTACTCACATACTCTCTCTTCTCTAAAATAAAAATATAAAATCTTTAAAATAAAAAAAAAAGCTGTTCCATGAAATGTATCAAGAGCTTTAAACTATTTAGATTTTTGACCCAATAATGTAATTCTATCTTTAAAAAGATACAAGAAAAAATAAAAATTAAAAGATACAAGAAAAACAAAGGCTAACATCAAAAATTAAAATTATATAACAAATTAGAAATAGGGTAAAACTCCAGTATCAACAAAATAATTTTAAGTTCATGTGATAGATTATATAAGTCATTAAAAATGGTGTTAAGGGGAGCCTGGGTGGCTCAGTTGGTCAAGCAGCCAACTCTGGATTTCAGCTTAGGTCATGATCCCAGGGTCCTTGGATGGAGCCCCAGGTCAGGGGAGGTCTGCTTGAGGATTCTCTCCCTCCCTTTCTCTCTGCGCCTCCCCACCACACTCCTGCTTGCTCGCTCGCCCTCTCTCTCTCTCAAATAAATAAATCTTATTTAAAATGGTGTTAATAGGGGCTCCTGGGAGGCTCAGTCAGTTAAGCGTCTGCCTTCTGCTCAGATCATGATCTCAGGGTCCTGGGATGGAGCCCCATGTTGGGCTCCCTGTTCAGCGGGGAGTCTGCTTCTCCCACTCCCTCTGCCACCTCCCCCCAGCTCATGCTCTCTGTCTCTCTCTCAAATAAAATCTTTAAAAAAATAAACAAACAGGAGTACCTGGGTGGCTCGGTCAGTTAAGCATCTGCCTTCCGCTCAGGTCATGATCTCAGGGTCCTGGGATCAAGCCCCCCATCGGGCTCTCTGCTCAGTGAGGAGCCTGCCCTCTCCCTCTGCCTGACGTTCTGCCTACTTGTGCGTGCACTCTAATAAATAAATAAATAAAATCTTTAAATAAATAAATAAAATGGTGTTAATAAACATTGTATTTTGAGAAAATGCTTATGAAATAATGTTAAGATAATGGATTCCAAATGTTAAATACCTTATTACCCAGAATCTAACTATGTAAATCTTTTGTTGTCATATATTCCTCACTTTACAAATTTTTCCAAATTTTCTACAAAAAGGCCTACTGTCCTAACTATTAGCGTAACTATTTTTTAAATCAGTTTTTCCCGGGGCACCTGGGTGGCTCAGTCGTGAAGCGGCTGCCTTCGGCTCAGGTCATGATCCCAGAGTCCTGGGATTGAGTCCCACATCGGGCTCCCTGCTCGGCGGGAAGCCTGCTTCTCCCTCTCCCATTCCCCCTGCTTGTGTTTCCACTCTTGCTGTCTCTCTCTCTGTCAAATAAATAAATAAAAAATCTTAAAAAAAAAAAATCAGTTTTTCCCTATGCTCTTAAAAAACTTAATATTAAAATATTAATATTTATTTATAAAATATTAAACCAGCTTATAACACAAACTTAGTTAAGATCTATTTTAAGGGAAAGGAGAGAAAAAGTTGAAGATAATTTATATAATTCCACATATAAAATAATTAAACTGTATGTTTTATACTACACTGCTATATAAACTGCACAGAAGAAAAGGAAACATTTCCCAACTTTTTTAGGCCAGCACTAACCTGATACCAAAATCAGACAGATATTTAAAAAAACAAAAGCCAGAGCATTATCTCTCATGAGCAATGAAGCACAATTCAGCAATATATTTCAAA